ATGAGAAATATTAGATAGAATAGATGGAGATAAGATAAAGTCCTTGTCTCTGGGAAAGCTCGAATGAAAACAATAAGTATTTAGGGTTTGTGACTGATGTGCAGCATTCATTCATCTAGCACTTTGATTGCTTTGAGATCATTAGATCATGCTTTTAGATCACTACATAAAGTATGTTCTTTTGTATTTCTGCAGAAATGGCCACATTGAAGATGGGTTTTTAGCATCTGCTTTCCCCCCTTAATGATGGTATGATGATGTACTTATATCTTTGCTTTTGCATTTTTCTGTATCAGAATATCTTGTTCAGTAAAGGTGGTTTGTTTTTCATTAGAAACAGAAAAATTTATTAGTACTTCTGTGAGAAAAGGCCCAAAATAGTCCCTCATCTTTTGTTTACCAATTCTCAAAAAAAAAAAATAGTCCCTCATCTTTGGGTTAAGACTCAAAGTCATCCTTGAATTTTCACATGAAACATTAATAGCCCCTCATGTTTGCAATATTGGTGCACTTTTGGTCCTTCAAAATTTTATCTATTTTTAAACATTGATTTTATTCATAATTTATGTATGGAATGTTTAATCGTCATTTTATATATTTAGTAGAAATAATAACTCCATGTGAGAGATTGTGAGAAGAAAAACACCTTGTCTTGTTTAGTAGAAATCGTATTGCAGGTAAAGTCGAGAGGTTCATCACGATGATTTCACATGCAATAGTACAAATTTTTCTTTTCTTGCAATGTCATATGTTAAAATGTTTTTAGTTTTAGCTGCAGTAATATTTATACTGAACAGAACAAGGTGTTCTTCTCACCTTCTCTCACATAGAGTTATTATTTCTACTAAATATATAAAAAGACAATGGGACATTCCTTACATAAAATTATGAACAAAATTAATGTTAAAAAATAGGCAAAAGTTTAGGGGAGGACCAAAAGTGCACCAATATTACAAACACGAGGGACTATTAGTGCTCCATGTGAAAACTCAAGGATGACTTTGAGTCTTAACCCAAAGACGAGGGACTATTTTGGGCCTCCTCTCTACTTTTGTTTAAGGAACTTTAAATATTATCTTAGCAGTGATTATCAGTTATTTATTTGAAATCTCTTAGACTGGGTTTCATTTACTGCAAATTAATGAGACCTGACTGAGCCTATTCTGTATAACCACCAAAAAGATAACTTGTAGAATTTACTCATGGATAATCGTTGCGTCAATTAACTGGCAACTAAATTAATTTTCCTGAACAAGCTACTGCATTAATCTTTAATTGATTTGATTTTGTATGTGCTTAATAATTCTCTCTTTTAATAAAGGACCACAATAACTTTACTATAAAGACTTACATGGCCATCATGGCCGAGAGGGATGCTGCCATCCGTGAACGGAATATGGCACTAGAGGAGAGAAAGAGGGCTTTTGCAGAGCGAGACATGGCAATGCTTCAGAGAGATGCAGCACTTGCAGAGCGTAATGCTTTGATTCAAGAAAGGAACGATGCCATTGCTGCTCTTCGATTGCAGGACAGCTCTACAAATGACAACAATATGGTTCCAGATTCACCAGGAAATGGAACTGAAAGTGGTGCAAAGCACATTTATAACCAACAGCAAATGTATAGAACCACAGCTGAAGCTGCTCATGGTTCAATGGAAGATCCCTCAGCTGGCTACTTGAAAGACACAGATACTTCTGAAGCAAAGATTCCTAAAAAGGTCAAGCGACCTAAAGAGAGCAGACACAATAAGCAAGCCAAGATTCCAAGAGTGGGTAAAATTGGCACAGATAATTTAAGCATGCAGGTCATAGCCACGACATCAGATGATTGGGCAAATCTGCAAGAGATGGACAGTGACAAGGAAGGAGATACACAGCTCACATCATGGAAAGATAATTTGGGGTTCCAAATCAATTTTGATGAGTCTGCCATGCCAGTACCTGTTTGCTCCTGTACTGGGACTCCACAGCCATGCTATAAATGGGGTCATGGTGGGTGGCAGTCAGCTTGCTGCACAACTACCATATCTATGTATCCATTACCTCAAATATCAAACAAACGCTATTCCCGTGTGGGTGGAAGAAAGATGAGTGGTGGTGCCTTCAGTAAATTGCTTAATCGTCTTGCTGCTCAAGGTTATGACCTGTCTATTCCTCTTGACCTGAAGGATCATTGGGCTAAACATGGCACAAACCGCTACAGCACATTGAAATAGCTTCTGTGTGCACGTTGGATTGGGACCTCACAATATAGAGAAGGCATCGTCGGAAAATGTGTGTTGTGGATGAAAGAAAGTGTACTTTAATACTGTGCAGGAGATATACCGCTAATAGCTATTCATTCACATTTTTTGAGCTCTGTCTCTGTCTCAGAGTTCCAATTCATCTTATCAGAACGGCCACATATTATGTACTGTACTTTTGCTTTCTTCAATATATGTTTAATGAATATGGTGATTTGGGTGTCAAATAGCTTTGCCTAGACAGCGTAAATAGCAATTTGTGTATATCATTCGTTTTCTCACATTACCATAGCAAACTTCATTTATTGCTTCATCTACAGAAAAAAAATCAATGTGGTAGAACAGGAGCAGTAAATAAAGAAGATGTTATTACTTGTAGTTCAGCTTAAGCAATTATTGCTGTTTGATGACTCAGAAAATAAAATTTAAAAAATCCATTTGGCATAGTAAGTAATGTCTTCACATTTAAATGAACAAAAAAGAAATGGCACAATGTATACAAAAATAAATATGGAAATTTTTTAAAATAACAATATTTTAGCTTTTAGTGGGACCCTTAGCACAGTTTCATTATTTATTAAAAATGTCGTTATTTTAGTTTGTTAAGGGATTAGTTATGTATTTATTTTATTTTGATTAATTTGAAAGAATACAAATAATTAATAACATAACAGAAAAAATCATGGAACAAAAAAATTCAAAAAAGGTAAAAAAGATTTTAAATACAAATCAGTTACGTTTTGAAAAGAGCATAAATAGCCATCTTTCCGTCGAGCATTTTTTTGCTTTCTTCTTAAGAACATAAAAAAATAATAATTAAGTTTGTCTTCCAAATCATTCATCTTATAACTTTCAAAGCTTCTTCAAGTTGAATACGACATATTTTTGAAACATAATTTTTTAAAATTGACAACTATAAATTTGTCGCATCCAGTGAACAATCGAAAAACAATCAGGTAATTTTTTTCAATTTTTTTATTTGTTTGGATGAGATATTCGTATATGTCGAGTACAAGAGTGTTATTTTTTTTCCTGATTTAATCAGTGAAATCTTAGTATGCATTGGGATTTATAGCTTTTTCGGATGTTTTGTATCTAAATTATGATGTATAATGAATGAATTTTTTTTTTTTTAGTTTAGTAGTTGTTTTTTCTGTTTGAATGCATACAATAATTTGTATCCCATTAAGTTAATATAACTAATCGATCATGAACTATATTTTGAATACAACAATATATGAATACAAAAGTGAGATGAAAATACAAAGTGAGATTGAATATAAAGTTGTGAATACAAAATAAATTAAGTATTTTCTTCATTTGAAATACAAAGTGACTTTGAAAGGTAAAATACAAACTAATATGACATGGACTGTATGTTGAATACAACAATATATGAATACAAAAGTGAGATGAAAATACAAAGTGAGATTGAATATAAAGTTGTGAATACAAAATAAATTAAGTATTTTCTTCATTTGAAATACAAAGTGACTTTGAAAGGTAAAGTAGGCACATAAAATACAAAACTTGTTGGTATACAATTAGGGGTGTGTTTGGTATGAAGGAAAATATCCAATAAAATACAAAATTGTTAGCATACAGTTAGGATGAATACAAATTAACAAGGAAATACAAACATGTTGGTTTACTAATTGAGATTGAAATACAATGTAAAAACAAAAAATGTAAAACTTGTTGATATATTGATAGAATGAATACACAAATAAACTGTTGATTCAGACATAGTAGATAGATCTATGCTTTCCCCAAATCTAAAACCCTAAAAGCAAATATAAATGTATTAAAAATCAAACAAAATAAACATATGAATGAATTTGTAGATTATAATAAATCTGAAATATTAAAACGAAATTAGAAAAAAATCAAAAAAAAATTGTTTAATCGACTAAAAATCTAAAATACATAAATTTTACATGAATATGTAAACAAACTTGCATAAAATCAAAAATTAACGGAAAATCCGTAATATGTACAATGCGAAATATAAATCATAAACGGTGATATTGAAAACAAATCAAAAGAAATGTAAATAACTAATTGAGATACATAAATATTAGATGAAATATGTAAACAAACTTGCATAAAAATTGAAAAATTGACGAAAAATCCGTAATATGTACAATGCGAAATATAAATCATAAACGGTGATATTGAAAAACAAATCAAAAGAAATCTAAATAACTAATCGACATTACCTTTACCAAATTCAAAATTTCTTGAATTAATATATAAATTTTTTTTACCAACCGAGAAATTTCTTGAATTAATACAGAGATTTTGTTGAAGAATCGAACTTTGAAAAATTTGTGTTTCAAGGTTAGCAAAAAACTTGAAAAAAGAGAATTTGGAAACGTGAAAGGTGGGGAAAAATAAAAACTTTAAGTTAGAATCGTGAAAGGTGGGAAACGTGTAAGATGTGGGAAGAATATTAATGGATAATTTTGTATTTGTTTTTTACTTTTAATCTGTTATTGGTTAGAATTTGGTCCAATGATGGACTCTTTTGATTAATAAAAGAAAATATAAATAATAAAATGTGAATACAAATTATTTTTGAAAATATTGATATTCTGACATTTTAAATAAATATTTTAAAGTATTATTATTTTGACTAAATATGTTAGGTATTATGTCTAGATAGCTAATTTTCTCAAATAAATATAAATTGGTTTTTATTAGGAAAAAGGAAGAAAGTTATAAGAGGACTATATATCTCTGCAGTTTTCACCTATGGGCTATGTGGCATCGAGCATTTTGACCCATCTCAGGCCCATTTATGAACAGCCTCTCGACACACAGCTGCTTCCGAGAAAAAGACAGGTTACCGGGGAAGCTTTAACCGTTACAAAATTCTGATTTTCTGTTCTTCCTCCGGCGAAAAGATTTTACTCTTACTACTAGGAAAAGTCCATCCCTGTCTATTCATCGGGCTTTAGCACGCTAGTCGCTTCTGTACCCTTTCAATGGGTGCATCCGAATCAGTTCTCTCCGGCTCACAAGTAATTCTTCTTCTGCTTCATTTTCTATGAATCTCAGTTTAAATTGTTCGCCTTTTTGTCTTTTATTATTTTGAATCTTCTCATGAATGAAGGGGCCAATCGATGAGATCACCACAGTTTCTGAGCGTGTAGAAGGCGTTGATCCTATTTTGGAGAGGCTAAAATCTCTCAAAATTGTAAGTGTTCTTTTCGCTAACTTCACTATATTGGTTTTGAATAGCTATTAAGCGATCACTTATTGTATGAAATTTGTATGACAAGGCTGCTCCAATACTGAAATCGCCGCCAGCTGAGAGTAGCTTGACTGACATTCTGGTGAGGAAAGCATCCTCCACTTCAAATAAAGGTAATTTCCATATACTATGAACAGTTTCCAATACCTTCTGGCAATGCCATATGCTGTATTGAACATTTTTGAACTTAGGATTTTATGTTAACCTTGAAAAATCTAATTTAAACTTGTTTCAAGTAATTTATTGTCTAGAGCTTACATAAATATCAATTTAGGTTATCTGGTTTGTTTTGCTCCTTAGTACGAAAGGTGTTGGGGATTCAAGTCTAGTTCAGACCTTGTTATTTTCATATAGCAATTGGTGCATATAAAACAATTATTATAAAAATTGGAATAGATTCATTGGCAAGGATTCGAACTTGGGGAAAATGCTGCATCATAGTGGTGCTGAACCAACAAGCCGTGGTGCTATTTGCGTTAAGTAGTGTCACTTATAAAATTCTATAAGTATTTTAATTCTTCAGATAATATACATATATATTATCATTAAAAAAATTGACGAAGGGGTGTAGGATGACACCCCTTGTCTTAAGGTGCATCCGTCCCTGCCTCCTAGACAGGTTTGTAGGGGATGTGAGAAAAGCTTAAAGAGATGATATCACTTGCAAGTTTTGAGAATATGCGTGCCTGTTAATATTTGAAACGTTGTGATGCAAGCGGACTGTGGTGGTGTTACTTGGACCTAGAAAGTACTTCAGAGTTCCTCAAATGGACAGTGAATCAAGAGAATATATCAAGCTTTTTCAAAAAAGGAAAAAGGAAGTAGAGAGAGTCAGTAACATTTCATCCTACAAATTACATTGAGCATAGATCCAAACTGATGGATTCTGTCAGGCTTGTAACGTCTCTAAGTTTATGCCTTATTGCTCTCTTCAAAGTTTCACGGTATGACTACTAAGTTCAATACGACAATAATCCACATCTTTTAATATATCCTCTATTGACATATATTGAGTTAAGTTACTCTTTTTTTAATGTAACATTAAGTAACTTGGTTAGACATTTTAGCCTTTTACAAACTTGTGTTGGGATACTATTTGGACCACATGCTTCTCTATTCGTTATATTCTTCATGGCATCCTTTACTTCAGAATACCGAATTTATGTGCTTTAGCTTCTAAGTCTTATGCTTCCATAGTTTCGTTTCATATCCAGGTCCACAATGTATGTTCAGTATCTTCCTAGAACTTAGTGTCATTTTCGTTGTTTATTAGCATAGGCACTATCGTGTTAATTTTCTCTTTTCCCACACTATCCTAATGAGATAATAATCCTGTCGCCAATTCTCTTCAAGGGTGGTGTACTTTCTTCTTTACCCTCATCCGTCCAGGAAGATGTTGGAGCTCTTTCCTATCTAACTTCACGTCTGGGTGCCAATGTATGGGCCTATGGGGTGAATGCCTTAGTCACACCATCCATGATGTGACAACCCTTGGTTATGCTCTCTCATCCCCTGGATGCAACATGCTGGAACTTCTTGGTTAAATTAAAGTTACACCCCTGCATCGATGTAGCATGTTCCAAGAAGACCATGACTGATATAGTTAATATGAGGATTCATTATAAATTTAACTATTTTTTAAATGGCCATCAACTATTGCAATGTTCTCCTTTCTACAGGATTGGATTGATTGTGCTCTGTGAGCATAGGTAGAGTTGTGATGAATCCTAATGATAACCATTTCCCTAGAGTTTCAAACCTACACTAATGAACTGTGATTTTTTGTGCAAATATTTAAGAAGTGCTTGAAACTTGAACTAGCCTCCATTCACAATGATAGTTGGTTTGTCTTAATTAAACTGAAGAAAACCAAACCAGAAAATGGGTTGTGGCTTAACTAGGAATTGAAAAGGAACTGAATTGATGATCTGATTCAAGAGATGAAAATGCTAAGCAGCTTAGAGCTCACTTGGCTGCTGCTTCTGAATCCTTTCTTCTGAGAAACCTGTATTACTTCTCAAATTGACTACAGGGGCCGCTTAACAGCCTAAACAAGAATTTTTTAGAAGGCCTTATGTTTTTTTCAAATGTTATTCATATATATTTGTAAGTCTATTTTTCTAAAGTTTTTTAGATGCAAAGTTGTTAACATTTTTCCAAATCAATTTATTCTAAAAAAGTTCAAGTGATGATATCGCTAATCAATCTTTGACTGTGGATGAATGAGTAACACATACGAAAGGAAACAACAACTGCTAATCCTCGTAAGCTGAGAAGCAAAAGGAGGAATCCGCTCGCGGGGGGCGGGGGGGGGGGTTGGGTTTGATTTGC